GGGATTATAAGCATGTGCCACCATATTTGGCTCCAGCCAATTTTAAATGTTATTTACTTATTTAGAGACATGGGCTCACTATGCAGCTCAGGCTGGTCTTGAACTCAGCAATCCTCCTGCCTCAGCCTCCGCGTGTGGGATGACAGGCATATGCCACTACACCAGGCTCAACCAGTTCTTACTGCATGCCCTGCCATATATTGTCAACCAGTATACATTGCACATCTGCCTTACATCCCTGTATTTATTCAACCAACACTTATTTGACACCTAATGCATATCTTACAGATTTATTGAGTGCTTACTATATGCACCTACATTAATTCAACCAATACTTATTGGGTTGATATTGATGTTCCTCACCCTGTCTGAGGTTACAGCCCAGTTAACCCATGGTAAATTGAAAATATGATCAAAAATGCATTTATCCAGGGTGGTAGGTCATACCTATAATCCCAGCACTCAGGAAGCTGAGGTAGGATGATGGTCATGAGTCCCACAGCCTGGGCTACATATTGAATTTAAGGCCAACCTAAATTGTATAGTGAGACTCTGTCTCAAACACACACACAAACCAGGTGTTGTGGTGCACACCTGTAATCCCAGCATTTAGGAGGCTGAGGCAGGAGGATCACTTCAAGTTCCGGAGACCAGCCTGAACTACAAAGTGAGTCCATAGGCAGCCTGAACTGCCTAGCGAGACTGTCTCAGAAACGCAAGAACAGAAAAAATGCGTTTACTCCACTGGCCTTTCAGCCATCATAGCCCAGCCCAGCCTGGTGTGGGGGTGTGGGAGCTGAGACAGGGTCTCACTGTGTAGTTCAAGCTGTCTTTGAACTTACGGAGATCCTCCTGCCTCAGCCTGTATGATTGACACCGGAGACCCAGCCATGACTAAGAGAGACCCAGGGCCCACCCTCAGGGTGGACAAGCAATCCCATCTTTACTAGGAAATTGGAGCCTGGACAGAATAATGCCCTCACGGAGGGCTGGAATGATAGTTACCCCCATGCTATCCTCCATGTTCTAGCTGTGTGTCCACTGCAGTGGGGCCCCTAGGGTCAAGGGGGACTTCCCACAGGAAGAGACAGCAAAGCTGGGTCCTGAACTGGAGGCAGCTTTGGGCTGTACAAGGAAGAGGGGAGCCGGGAAGGGTGTTCCCGATGGGGGAACCGCATGTGCAGAGGCTCAGAGGCAGGCCCTGAAGGCAGGCTGGGCAGCCTGGTAAAGCTGGCCTCGGGCTTGGTGCACCAGGCCCTTCAGGCCCCAGCTGTGCCCCGCCTCTTGACAGGACGAAGCTGTGGAACGCTGTACCCGCCCAGAGCCGCCCAGGGAGCACTTTGGACAGAGGATCCTGGTGAAGTGTCTGTCGCTCAAGTGAGTGCAGGACCCCAGGGGTCCCAGGAAAAATATGCACTCTGAGAGGATGTCATGACTTCCTGCGGGCCTGTCCCTGTGAGGTCACCACCGGCTTTCATTTGTGTATTTGTTTAGTTTTGGATTTTTGAGACAGGGTCTCGCTATGCCGGGCTGGCCTTGAACTCACCATGGAGGCCAAGCTGGCCTCACTACTGGGGTGATCCTCCTGCCTCAGCCTCCTGAGTGCTGGGATTAAGGCATATGGCCCCACTCCTGGCTCTGTTTTTGTTATTTTAAGCTGCCAATCTGTAAAGCACTCAGTGAGCCGCACTCTGTTCGCAGCCCTTCATCCGTGTAACTTGTGCTCACCACAGCTCTGTGACCTGGGTGCAGGTGGGGAGACTGAGGCACAGCAGGCAACATCACTGTGCCCCAGATCGCAAGGACTGATGAAGCCAGAGCTGGTGCTCATCTGCCCTCCTGCTGGGATGGGCTGAAGTGGGTGCTGGTGACCCTGGCTCACAGCCACCCGAGGCCCCTTCCACATCAGGCCCCCCGGAGCAGCAGAGGCGCGTGGGAACAGAGCTGAACAGGATGTGGACTTGGACACTGGCCTGGTCCTGCTGCTCCCCACCCCCAGTTCCTGTCTGCATCAGGACAGGAAAGGGAGGTTTCATTCTGGCCTGAGGCCCGCATGGACCTCCCACCCCTAAGCCTGAGGGTTGAGAAGCAGCTCTGTGAGCTCCTTTAGTCATTCAACCAACACCTGATAAATAGAACACAGAACCAGGCTGTGACCACGCAGATCCTTGATGAGAAATGCATAGAAGGTCTTCGTCCTAGCCTGAGGGACAGAAGTGTAGGAGAAACAGGGTAGTGTCCCTGGGAAGGAGACATCTAAGCTAAAGGATGCATTTCAAGTCCTGACGCAGTGATTCTGGGTGACCCAGTAGCACCTAGAGGACGCCCCTCTCCCGCACTTCCCTTGGGCCAGGCAGGGGGACCATGGCGTGGGCGGTAGTGGGTCAGGCAGAGCCTCGCATTTATCTGCAGGTTTGAGATAGAAATTGAACCCATCTTTGGGATCCTGGCCCTGTACGATGTGCGGGAGAAAAAAAAGGTAGGCGCCCTCTCCCTTCCCCTCCTCCCACCTGGTGGGGGCTGTGGGCTGCCCTGAGGCAGTGACCCCGAAGCCTCTGGGGGTCTAGATTTCAGAGAATTTCTACTTCGACCTCAACTCGGACTCCATGAAAGGGCTGCTTCGGGCCCACGGCACCCACCCTGCCATCTCCACCCTGGCCCGATCCGCCATCTTCTCCGTGACCTACCCATCACCGGACATCTTCCTGGTCATCAAGGTGCCCCCGGGGACAGGCGGGGGTGGAGGCGATAGTGGTGAATGCTTTGGAGGAATGAGACGGGGTGGGGGTGAGTCCCAGGGGAGCACCAGGGAGACCCCTGAGCTAGACGGAGGAGGGAGAAATCCTGGAGGGCTTCCGTGGGGAGGGGACAGGTGACCCCTGAGTAGGCAGGTTGAGGACGCGGGACACCCCAGACACGCAGCAGCCCAGTGCTGCCTTGGGAGGCCCACATATGGGTGCCGATGGCCCCTCCTACCCCGCAGCTAGAGAAGGTGCTTCAGCAAGGGGACATTGGCGAGTGCTGTGAGCCCTACATGGTGATGAAGGAGGTGGACACGGCCAAGGTACGCTGGTGCTGGGAAGGTGGGCCGGGCTGGATGGCAGTCGCGTGCTGGACTCCTGCTGAGCAGGTGGGGACGGGGGTCTCCCCCCCTACGCCCCCCGCCCCCCGCAGAACAAGGAGAAGCTGGAGAAGCTGCGCCTGGCAGCTGAGCAGTTCTGCACCCGCCTGGGCCGCTACCGCATGCCCTTCGCCTGGACGGCGGTGCACTTGGCCAACATCGTGAGCAGCGCGGGGCAGCCTGACCGCGACTCGGACTCGGAGGGCGGTGAGTGGGCGGGGCTTCTGGGGAAGACAAGCGGGCGGGGCGGGGTTATCCGGGGCGCGGGGCGGGGCTACCCCGTAGGGGCGGTGCTAGTCCGGGGAGATGTGTGATTGGGCAGGACTCCCGGGGGCGGGGAGGTGGGTGGGGCTACCCGGTAGGAGGCGGGGCCTGGAGGGAGGCAGGCCCTCTGCTGGCCCCTCGCGAGCCGGAGTGTTACATCTCCGTCCTGTCCTGTCTGTGTCTCCATCTCCCGCTGTGACCTTTCTCCCTAGAGCGCAGACCCGCCTGGAGCGAGCGTCGCCGTCGGGGACCCCAGGACCGATCCAGTGGTGGGGACGATGCGTGTAGCTTCTCTGGCTTCCGCCCGGCCACACTGACTGTGACCAACTTCTTTAAGCAGGTGTGGGGCGAGCGGGGAGTGGTGCCCGTGGGACCCCGGCCCTTGTGGCTGCGTTGATCCCCGGGACTTTCAGTCCCTTGGCTGTCTCTGGCTCAGCGGGACCTGCCCCCGCAGGAGGCTGAACGACTCAGTGAGGAGGACCTCTTCAAATTCCTGGCGGACATGCGGCGCCCCTCATCCCTGCTGCGGCGCCTGCGACCCGTGACCGGTGCGTGGTGCGCCCCGGAAACAAGGGGTGGTGTTCTCATGCAGTCACTCAACAAACCCACACTGAGTGCCTACTTTTACAGGCCGTGGAGATAAAGTCCGACTTCCAGTGGGGCCCGCAGAGGAGAAACAGGATAAATAAGACACGCAATGGGTTTCCAGTAGGGGAACCTGGTGGCAGGGAGACGGGATCCCGAGGGAAGCGCTGATCAGATGCAGGGACAGACAGAGGAGTTGGGGACTTGTGGCTGTTTTTCCCCCTCTTGTAGCACTAGGTATTGACCCAGGGCCTTTGCACTGAGCTGCCGTCTTCGTCAAGCTCTGCTCTACCCAGCTCTGTTTATTTGTTTGGCTTTTTGGGTGTTCTGAGGCAGTCCGGGTCCCTTGAGCTCACTGGGTAGCCCAGGCAGGTCTCAAACTCACAGCAGTCTTCCTGCCTCAGTGCTCGGTTATTTCCTCCCAAGTACTCGGGTGTCCGGCTGCACCACCACGCCCAGCTTACGGTCCATTTTGAGACAGGGTCTCACTAAGTGGTCGAAGGTGGGCTTGATCTTTCAGTGCCGCACCCCAGCCTCTCACAGTTCTGGGTGGCAGGGCTTGCCCCCTCACTTGGCTTACGACTTTTTTTTTGTACTGGAAATTGAACTCAGCACCTTGTGCTCCCCAGCAGGCGCTGTGGCCCCGAGCCATATCCCCAGCCGGTCTTGTGGCTTCTGACTCTGAAGGACAGATCCATCAGGCGGGGCCGGGCTCTGAGTCCACAGGGGCCAGCAGCTCCCCAGGCAGATGCCAAGTGGCTCTCTCCTTCCCAGCTCAGCTCAAGATTGACATCTCCCCCGCGCCCGAGAACCCCCACTTCTGCCTGAGCCCTGAGCTGCTGCACATCAAGCCCTACCCAGACCCCAGGGGCCGGCCCACCAAGGAGATCCTGGAATTCCCCGCCCGCGAGGTCTACGCCCCGCACACCTGCTACAGGTACAGCCCTGGCCGGGTCACCCGCCGCTGTGCTGGGTGAGCCACCCACCCACCCCTCACACCTACACACAACAGACACTGGGTGATAGCACTGCTCTGCTTTAGTGAGGTACGAGGGAGCCCGCGTCCTCCCTCCTCACGGCCACGTCCTCTGCCTGTGTCCTGCTGGCTTCTGCCTCCACTCTGCCCAGAACTGGGGGCCACCCTGGCTGGCCCCAGCAGACAGGCAGCTCCGCCTGCACGGGACTGCACGCGTGTGGACTGGTCCCTCGCTGTGTGGCTGATCCTCGGGTCCACTCCAGCAGGCTCAGGCCGGGCGTGCCACTGTGTGCAATCTGGGGAGGGACACGAGACCCCATCAGTCACCGAGAGGGCCCCCCCAGCAGCTTCCCCGCGCACCTCACCCCGCTTCCCCAGATGCCCCGGCCCCGTGGGGCTCACCGCTGCTGGATCTGTCGCAGCCATTTTTGCTGCGCGGCCATCTCCTGCCTCTGTCGCTGCATGTGGCCCATGAGGATCCATATGAGGTGGCTCTGCTTGTCAGTGTGAGCCTGTGGGGCGGGAGGAAGAGCTCAGTGGGACCCTGTCACCTGCCATGCCTGGACTCTGCCTGAGCTCTCTCTCTGCAGTTCCCTGCTGCACCTGTGTAACTTTGCAAGTCACTGGTGCTTTTCTGGCCTCGGTTTTCTCACCTGTAAAATGGGTCACAGAGAGGACTTGCTTTGCAGGGTTATGCATATCATACTGTCTATTGGAGGGTACTCAACAGTGCTGACTAATTATAGGGTGGTCAAGACACAGCTCTGGGCACTCCAGCAGTAAGAGTTTACTATGTGCCTTCCTCCTGCACGGAGTCCCCGGCTCTGCGGTGCCGCAGGCCCTCCCCAGGGCTCGAGTTCAGGAGCAGGCTGTGTCTGACCAGGAACCGGGGCCCCACCCCTCCCGGGACTGCACGTCCCTTACCTTTAAAGCGTCCAGCTCATGCCGTGCATTGCCCCGCCAGCTGCCCTTGAGCTGGGCCTGCAGCCGTTGCACACTGTCCTGCAGCCCCTGCTGTGCCCGGACTACCTCCGCCAGCCCCCGGGCTGTGGCCTCTGCCTGCAGCTTCAGAGCATCCCCGTCCATCTGCTTGGCAGATAGGAGGGCATTAGGCTGGTGACAAGCTCGTCTTTGCCCAAGGCTTGCCTGGTTTTAGCACTGAAAGTCTTTCACCTTGAGAACTTCTATTCCAGGCAGCTCAGGGCATCTGGACTTGCTAAATGTCATCTGGACTCCTGTCCACCCTGCGGTATCCCAGCCTCAGTGCCCACCTGTATCTCCAATAAGTTTGTGCGGAGCTCCTGAGTCACATTCCGGCCTTGGCTGATTTGTAGTCCCAGGAGCTCTAGTACCCGGCCTAAGAGGCCCAGGTTATGCGTGGCCTCTGTCAGCTGTTCCTCGGTGGAACTGTATATGGTATTGAAGGCCTGGCTCAGCTGTAGAGCCCCGTGGAGGAGCAGGGTCAGCTCCTCATACCGTGCTGGCTCCCGGTCACCTGTGGGGCCCATCGGGGCAGACGCCGCCAACACAGTTAGGACCCACAGGAGGCTCAGAGCAAGTGCGGCCATGGCTGACAGCTGGGGTGGCCACAGTGCCGCTGCCACCGCCTTTTATGTCCTGTGCTGCTCTGTCCCCTGGTCAATGGTTAACTGGCCATGCAGCGGCCCGTGTTGTGCAAGGCCTGGCCGGCACGTCGTGGTTGCATCAGGCAGACATCTGGCCTGGCCACGCTGGGATCACGCTGGCTGGGGCACGGGGCCAGCTATACATGGGGGCCACAGGGAGAGCATAGGCCCAGGCCTCTGCGGGGACATCCTGGGGGTCAGGACGCTGAGTGTCGGTTCCTCCACTTTATACAGGCAGAACCAGTGACACTAATAAGCTGGGTACAGTGGCACATGCCTGGGATCCAAGCACTTGGGATTGGGAGGCCGAGGCAGGAGATCTCAAGTTTGAGATCAGCCTGGGCTATAGATAAGACTGTGTCACAAATGAGAGGACAGTATTTAGGGAGCCCTGACGGCTTACACAGATACATACGTATATGTATCCCGCCAAATGCATGTGACACGGGAATCTTTGTTAGCCTGCGTAGTGGCTGGGGAATAAGGGATAGGTGACAGCGTCCTCTGTGAGGCCACACAGCGTAACTCTAGGAGGCAGAGAAGTCTCAGCCTGCCGTGTAATCCCCTGGATGTCGGGGGCACGTGCCTCACTTTCCCTTCCTGTACAGTGGGGGTGCTGTGGGTCTCCCTACCAGCATTCACGCAAGGGGAAAATGAATGACCTCACGCTGAGTACTTGGAGCCTGCACACAGGAGGTGCCACTCAAGTGTTCGGTGCAGTGACCGTTCACTGTCCTTGGTGTTTGGCTGGAAGGCCCAATGTCCCCGTTGTACAGACAGGGAAACCAAGGCCCAGAGGAAGGAGGCGCAAACCCAGCCGCTGGCTCTGGCCTCAGTTTCCCCACTGGGGAGGGCGTTTGGGCCTGAGGTGCGGGTCAGCATGGCTGGGATTGGACACAACCGCTGGCTACTTGGGCCACTGCCCTGAAGCTCCGGGGCCGAGGGCCCATCTGAGCTCCTGTCTGTGCTTTGGGGTGTCCGTCTGTCCCCCACACCCGCTGCTGGTCCAGCCTCTGGCCTGGATCCTGGAACAGCATGCCCTGTCCTCCGCACCCAGCAGCCCTCACCTGCCCCTCCCCGCCCCCAGGAACCTGCTCTACGTCTACCCGCTCAGCCTCAACCTCAGCAGCCGCCAGGGCTCCGTGCGCAACCTCGCCGTGCGGCTGCAGTACATGGCGGGCGAGGACCCCGGCCAGGCCCTGCCGGTCAGTGGCTGCGCCTGCGGGTGGAGCCGGGGCGCGTGTCCCTCTGGGGTCCTCACGTCCCTGCTCCCCCAGGTGATCTTCGGCAAGTCCAGCTGCAGCGAATTCACCCGCGAAGCCTTCACGCCCGTCGTCTACCATAACAAGTAGGTGGAGGCGGGGTAAGAACACGAGTGTGGGCATAGAAGCAGGGCGCAGGGCTCTGGGGTGCACACGGCCGGGCCAGCGTTCTGGCACTCGCGGGGACAAAGGGGCAGTGGAGGCTCCAGAGCGCTAACTGGGAAGCTGAGGCAGAGCCCACAGCACAGCGATCTCAGAGTCCCAACCCACGTGGATGCCGTCTCCCCCGCCCGGGCCGCCAGGTCCCCCGAGTTCTACGAGGAGTTCAAGCTGCGGCTTCCGGCCTGTGTGACCGAGAGCCACCACCTGCTCTTCACCATCTATCACGTCAGCTGCCAGCCCCGGCCCGGCACGGCCCTGGAGACGCCCGTGGGCTTCACCGTGAGCCACACCCTGCCCGGCCTCAACCCTGTCCCCGTCCCCGGCCCCGGCCCCGGCCCCGTCCCGTGCCAGCCCCAGGCTGACCCCGCCTCTCCGCAGTGGATCCCGCTGCTGCAGCACGGCCACCTGAGGACCGGGCCCTTCTGCCTCCCGGTGTCCGTGGACCCGCCCCCGCCCAGCTACTCCATGCTCACGCCTGACGTACGTGTGACCCACTTCCAGGGTGGACCCCGATCCCGGCTGCTGCCCCCGTCAGCTCCTGGGGGACTCGGGCTGCTCTGCAGTCCGCCAGCGCCTTGCATGCCCATCAGCCCTCCGTGGTGTCCCCTGTCCCTTCCCGCTGCACTCCCCATCTCTGGCTAAGGTCCCCCTGCCTGCCCCCCTGCTCTGTTCCATTAACAACTCTCCTTCTCGGTCCTTGACCCCAGAGAGTACTCCAAGGACCGGGGACAGTGACACACACCTGTATCCATCACTTGGGGAGGCCGAGGCAGGAGAACCCCGAGTCAAACCCCACTTGAGCGTGATCCTGTCTCAAAAATAATGACTTTTTCTTGGTATTTTTGAGACGGGCTTGCTATGTAGGTCAGGCTGCCCTTGAACTCACTATATATCCCAGGCTGGCCTCCAAGTTGAGTGGAGCCTCCTGCCTCAGGCCTCCCAAGTGCTGGTCAAAAGCCATTCTGGAAAGGATGTGTCTGTCAGTGCAAAGGCCCTGGGTTCAGTCTCCAGTCACACACACACACACACACACAGACACAAATGCATTTCTGGGCCCTGCACCAGCTCACGTCCTGTCATCCTGCCCCGCATCTCAGGGGTCCTTTATGAGACTCTTCCTGCAGTGACCTCTCACCCCATTTGCATCCTCTGTGTCCCCAGCTCGACCCTCAGATCCCCTCCGTCCACTGGGACTGGACTGGTGGGGGCAGGTTCTCGGCTGCTCCCAGGGGCTGGGCCACGCTCAGGCCATGGTGTCGCAATGGCCAAGTGGCTCTGGTGGCCTGATCCGAGGGGGAGGGTCGGCCTGTACCCACCCCACGCTCCTCCCCAGGTGGCGCTGCCGGGCATGCGCTGGGTGGACGGCCACAAGGGCGTGTTCAGCGTGGAGCTCACGGCTGTGTCCTCTGTGCACCCGCAGGTACGGGGTGGGGTGGGAAACCCCGCTCCTTGCTCTGCACCCCTCCCCTCCCAAGGGCCCCGAGATTGGGCAACAGTAGCCTCCGGCTAGGGAGGCCTTGGCCCGGGTCTGTGGACGTGAGCGGCTTTGATCTGCTGGGCCGCAGGCTGCTGGCTCAGCTGCCTGGAGCCAGGGGTTCACCTGATGCCCTTGCGCCCCCGCGCCTGCCAGGACCCCCACCTGGACAGATTCTTCACGCTGGTGCACGTCCTGGAGGAGGGCACCTTCCCCTTCCGGCTCAAGGACACCGTGCTGAGCGAGGGCACCGTGGAGCAGGAGCTGCGGGGCAGCCTCGCAGCCCTGCGCCTGGCCGGCCGCGAGCCCCTGGTGGCCTTCTCCCACCACCTGCTGGACAGGCTCGTGCACCTGGTCGTGCGGCCCCCGATCATCGGCGGCCAGATGGGTGAGCGAGCGTGTCCTTGGGCCTTGCTGTCCCCATCTGGAAAGTGATCTTAAGTTTCCTGCCATGTTTATCGGCTGGCCTCAGTTTCCCTATGTGAAAAATGCCCACCCCAGCCCCTGTCTCCTGAGAAGGTCCTCTGTGACCCCCTAGACAGCCACATGAGTGCTTGGACCCTAATACCTCTTCCTGTGCAGGAGGAGAGAGGGGAGGGGCTCTGGGCCCCTGAAACCTGACCTCTGCTTTGCCCGACAGTGAACTTAGGCCGTGGGGCCTTTGAAGCAATGGCTCACATAGTCAGCCTTGTCCACCAGAGCCTGGAGGTCGTCCAGGACAGCCGTGGTCACTGCCCGCTGCTGGCTGCTTATGTCCACTATGCCTTTCGCCTCCCTGGAGTTGAGCCCAGCCTAATAGGAGGTGAGTGCTGGTGAGAAGCCTTGGGATATGGGGAGAATCAACGAGAGCAGCACATGCAAAGGCCCTGAGGTCACACAGGGGTAACCCATTTGCAGCTGGTAGGAAAGATAACATCTCATTCCCTTCTATCCCATGTGTGTGGGTCTCTCCAGTTGACCGGCAGCTGATTCAGCCAGTCAGCACCTTCTTTAGTAGCTTGGAGCAAGGAGCCAGGGGCATTATTCTGTGATTTTTCAGTGAACCCCAAATAGCTATGAAACAGTAGCTTTCTGTATCCACTTTGTAATGAGAAACCTAGAAGTACGCAGTGATGTCACCAAAGGCGGCGAGTTGCCCAGGGACCAGGGGCCGTGGGGGCAGGCGGACTGTGGCTGACGCTGTCCCCTGTGTTGTCAGGGGCCCCTCCAGTGTCGGTGCAGGCTGTCACGCTGTCCCGTGGCTCCGGCCGCCCTGCCAGCCTCTACCTGGCCCGTTCTAAGAGCATCAGCAGCAGCAACCCTGACCTGGCTGTGGTCCCCGGCTCGGTGGACGACGAGGTTTCCCGCATCCTGGCCAGCAAGGTAGGGCGAGAGGGCCCCGCGCTCTCCAGGCTTGGTGGCTACCTGTGAGGTGGGTGAAGGTGCTCGTGGATGGAAGCCAAGAAGCATCTGAGACCTGGACCCGGAAGGAGGCTGATTCCTGGCAGGGGAGCCGGGCTGTGGCGTCCTTGGTTGAGGGCTGGAACTCAGACTTTTTGCTGGGCTCTGGACTCCACCAGGATGGGAGTCGAGGTCTGGCTGAAAAGGTAGCGCGTGTATAAGATAGTGGGCCAGACACAGCCACGCACATGCATGGACAGGCGCATATATATGTGTACCCCACGGACGTGTGTGCATGATCGTGTGTCTTCCCCGTGCACACATATGCTCAGGCACCGACACATGTGTGCCTTGTGCACTACTGTCATGGGCACACGTGTGTGTACTCCATGCACATAGGTACACAAGTACATATACACAGGTACCCTGTGCGTGTGTGTACATGGGTAATATGCCTGTGTACTTCATGCCCGCATACTCAGGGACATATACTCTTGTACTCACATGTACCCCACATGTACACAGGTGACCTGTGCTCACATCCCATACACACACACAGGTACATAGACCTACACACTTCGTGTTCCTGTGTACACAAGTGTTTAGGGGGTTTTGTGTACACACGTGCATGGGGTGTGTACACATTCTGTGCTCATGTAGACGGCTGCCTACACACACTCACGCCATGT